AACGAACAAATATAACAAAACAGAAACAGACTCACAGAACAAACTAGTGGTTTCCAGAGGGGAGGGGGCAGGGGAGGGGCAAAACAGGTGAAAGGCTTAAGCGGTACAAACTAGCAGTTATAAAATAAATACGACACAGAGATGTAATGTACAGCACAGGGAAGATAGTCAATACTTTATAATACTGTATAATATTTGTGGTGTGTAGTCTATAAAAATATTGAAATACCATGTTGTACACCTGAAAATAATATACTATTGTAAGTCAACTATACTTCAATAAATTTTTTAAAAAATATAAAACAAAAAATTTTCTACAGACTAAAATCCTTAGGAAAAAATCTCTTCCTGGATGTAACACATAAAACCTTGGTATTCTAGGTTGACCAGAATGGTTTTCAGATTTACCTGAATTGTAACCTACTTCAGTATGTTATTCAATGTATATTTCAATGGTTTACTTTTGTGGAGTATTAAAGGCTAATGGATACTGCAGGGTTTTCTACATCTTGATGTAGTCTAAAATAAAACAAAATTTTCTTTGTATGGTTGGGATCTGGCAGTTCTTTTAAATTCTTTACTGAAAAACATTTCCAAGAAATGTGTTAGATAAGAGATGTCTTTACCCTCCACTCTCTCACCCACAAAAACTATTCTTCCATGCTTGTTTTAAGTGGGAAAAATTAAATTGTCCACAAGGGCAGTTTGAGCAAGCTGTAACTTGATTTAAATATTTCGCACTCTTCATCTGTACTTTCCCCTGGGATCTTCCAGCCTTCTTTTCCAGAGAAATTTCCATTTTAGTTCCAAGTTTTGATCTTAATTATCTATCCCTTGCTAGTTTCCAGGATTATTCTTGGTGTTCCTAGATCAATGCCAAGGCACAGTTCTCATCTCTTGCAGTAAACATTTTAAAAGGAAAAACCCTGCAAAGTTTCTTTGAATAGAATAAACTTACTTCACATTAGAAAACTAAAGCCAGTTAATTATTAAATCATACTTTATTTTATATATCAAGTTGGATATCACAATAATATCCTCCATCATTAACTACAAAGAAACAGTTGGCTAGTTGTGCTGCATCAGAATGAAAACTTTTATTCTTTTGCCTTTTTTCAAACACATCCTAGTTCATTATTTTACTAAAAGGCACTAACAGATGTTAGGCAGAATGTGGCCACATCTGGGACATATAAAATACCATTCCAAGTCTCCATAGAAGGGAAATAGCAGTATTGTTTAGTTCTCCCCAAAAGCTCTACCAGCCCATCTCATTTAATCTGTTTAAGCTGAACAGTTAAGAGTAGCACCAATTATTTTGGTTGTCTTAGGAATATAAAAAGGAACAATGAACTAAAACACCAAAAGGGAAGTGTCACAAAAAGAAATACACTATGTTGAAATACAAATTAAAAAAACTTCACTAAAGCTTGTGGCTAGAGCTATATTTTTTCAGCTGAAGAGGTAGCAAATCTTGAGTTGCCTGCTTCCTGAAGCCACCTTGAATTATAGGTCTCTTTAGGCCTTTCTACAATGTTTCTACTTAATTTGACCCTTTCAAAGAAAGCACAACACATCTAAAAGATGGCAAATAAAGATTCTGGTAGAAGATATATTTTGACAGTTTATATATATATATTTATATATACATATATATAGTGATTAAATCCCAAGATATTCCAGTCTTTTAACCTACCTTTTAGTTTTAATTTTGTTTTGTTTTCTTAACTTTTCTAAGAAAACAAAAACAAAACCTGATGGTTTTTTGTCAACAGATCAGGTTCATATACTATTATATTTAGCATTATCTCTGGCTTCTTGAAAGTAGACCACATTGAGGACTGGAATAAATACTAGTGTTGAGAGGAAGCTCTGGAGATGTTTGCCTCAGACTGCTTACCCATTAGAGAGAAGAAAAATGCTGGAGCTGTGTATGCAGCACAGAGTGGGAAGGCACGTGTGGCATAATGGAATGTATCCTGGACTTGGAGTCAGATTACCTAGGTTTGAGCCTCAGCTCTGCCACTTATGAGCTCAATGTTTGGGAGAGTTAGTTAACCACAGAAATCACATTTCCCTCCTCTGTGAAGTAGGAATAATACCTTGGAGAACTGTTCTGAAGAGTCAGTGAAATAATGGATATAAAAGTGTTCTGTAAACTGTGATATATACATAGCTTGTTATTAACAAACTATTGGTGGCCTGCAATTTTCATCTCAGATAAGCAGATAACAATTAGATATTTGGAGCACAGCTGAAAAGAAATCCATGGAGTGGATATAGAATAGGCAGGCGTGAATTTCCATTTGAGACACACTGCCTAAACAGAGAAAGCCTCTGGGGGACTAAATGCAATCTTGATAGGAATGTCTGCTTTTAAGTGGTAAAGTGAGGCAAACCAAGCTCATATGAACTATTCTATTTCATATACACACTGGAATCAAAGATTCCCAGTCTTTCATTCTCTTAACGCCTATTTAAGGAGCATCTATTACATGCCAAGCATTGTGCTAGGTATACGCTGGTGAACAAGATTTCTGCTCTCAAGGAACTTGTGTCCTAGTTACATTAATATCTTTATTCCAAGCACTCGGCAAAGTGTTAGCACATAGTAGATGCTCAATAAAAGTCGACTGAGCTGAACTAATCTAATTTTGTAGCATTACCATAGCAGAAAGCCAGTAAAGAGATGATTTTTGTAATCAGAGATATCTACCCAATTCACCATGTGATTAACAGGGTACTACTTCTGAAGTTTTGAGGGAAAAGAAACTTTCTAACTAGAGTTCATCTAGTATTGTACAGCATTATTTTAATGTCTTCCTGCTTAAAATATAGTTATCACTTCCAATTAGTACATTTAACAAAGGAGGAGGGTGTTAGTAGAAAATGTTTTTCAGGGTGGTATCCCTCATGCCAGGTCGAAAAATTAGCAAAAAGAATATAGCCTGGATATGTCAAATCACTATTGACAGGCTGACTATGGACCTGACATTGATTTAATACACAATTAAAGGGGAAGAAAAATGGAAAGACCATTCTATTTATATGATAATCAACTCTTAACAAGTACAGAGAGTTTATGTTTTGAAAGCATACCTTTCTTGAAGCCACTCAAAACAGCTAGTGTTATGAAATAAAACTTCTTAGAGATTTTTCATAATATCTAGAAGCTGACTGGTGGGGTCAGGGTGATTGACGTCAGTATTGGCCACCAATATCACCACTTCTTCTGAACTCGGTTCAGCCTCAGCTCAAGTACTCAGTCCCCTTGCAGATGGAGGAGGCTATGTAACTAGTTTTGGCCAATGACATGTGATCAGCGATCTGTTTCCTTCCCAAGCTAAGGCTGTGAAAAGTTCAAAGGGATTCTTTACTCACTTTCTTCCTCTGCCACAGAGACTCAGTTGCTGTGTTCTGGGTGATACAGCTACAAGATGGTGAGCCCTCTGTCAATCTGGAGCCCTCTGTCAGTCCTGGAGTGACTGAAATAGAATGAGTCTGATTCACATGAAGCATGAGCAAGCAATAAACTTCTGTCGTGTTAAGGCATGGAGATTTGTTACTATACCATAACACAGCCTTTCCTGATTAAGGTAGTCAGGGAAGGCCCATAATACTCAGTCCAAGTTTCTGAGTAAGAGAGAAAATAGATAATGAGTTCCATTAATTTGTCAGTAGTGTCTTTCGTATTAAGGATGCTAGCCTGAGGTCTAGCTTTTTAATCACATTTAATCCAGATATCCCATAAGTTTTCCATCAATTGTCCTGTGAATTTTTTTAAAGTACCATATTTAACTTTTATCCATAAAGTTCCTATGCTTTTTACAGATGATCACTTTCCTCAACATCAATTGAATTTCTTAAACTAACCACACATTATTTTCATAAGCATTTTGACTAAAGCAAAACGTTCTGAATTATGAGCAGCATTAATTGAACATGTGCAGTTGTGAACAAAGAAGGGAGTTGCTTCTGCAACTGCCCTGTCTCTAGAAAGTGGACCTTGTAGAAGCAGAAGCATTCCTAATTATTTTGATTTTTTTTTTTTCCACATTGGAAAAAGACCTTAACCTTGAAGGGCTGGTAGAATCTGAGAACTGTCATTTCTTATTTAAAGGTTTAGATAGTTAGTGACAGTTTTGAAGTCACTGTCTTTGTTCTTGTTTACCTTAATGGATTGTTAGGTAGGGCACACAGTGTGTTGTGTTTAATATTTTAATGCCTGTCTTCTTTCTTTCTACCTATCCAAAGCTAACACTCACAGTCCTACTCGACTCCGAGTTCCTCAGGAAATCTCCCCTGAACACACCAGCTGGAACGGTTCCTTTGCTTTTCCAAAATCTTATGTAAATTCATACCATTTATTTGGCATTGCTTGTAGAGAGTTTTACAGAATTCAAAAGCTGGAAAGGACCTAAGAATCATTCAACACAATCCTCTCATTTTGCAAATGAGGAAAGTAAAGTCCAGAGCTATTATATAATTTAGTTAAGTCACATAGTTAAGAGACACATTGGAAGTTATAAACCCAGTTCCCCCAATTCCCAGTGCAGTCCATTCCTTCGTGCCACAAGTGCCTTCACATTAACTATCTGGTAGCGTAGGTTACCTTTTCCAGAGAACAGGTCATCTCACCAATAGTGTATCTGGAGTTCAGGGAACTCTTTCACTTTACTTCAGTTCGTAGCTTAATTTATACACATTTTATATACTCTTTGGTAGACTAACTGGTTGTGTTTTAGGGAGTCATAGGCGAGAGCAGGAGTCCGAACCCGATCCCCAGCAGCCGGCCAGGGAGGCTTAATGGGGGTCACAGGTAGGGTCAGGAGACCTCAAGGAGAGAGAACGCCGAGAACGAAGTGGCGCAGTCGTCATCCGGGCATTGGCCGGGGGCTCCGTTGCCCCGCGGAGGGCGCCGGGGGGCGGGGCCGGACGGCCCGGGGCGGGGCGGTGGCTCAGGTCCTCCTGGCAGCACGCGGCGGCGCCCCCTCCCCTTGCGCCACGGGCCTCCTGGCGCAGTGCACGTCCCCGTCCCGCGCCTCCGCCCCCTCGCCCACTCGCTCCTTCCCGCCCTCTCCGCTGCGCCGGCCGAGCCGGCTTCCCCTCGGTCTCTCATGAATATTGAGCGGCCCCTGTTGTATTTCCCGAGCTCCATTGCGGAAGCCGAGGCTCGCCATATTGTGCGGCGGCGCCGGCAGCCGCGGCACCCTGTACCTGAGTCTCGCTCTGGCCGCGGCTAGCGCAGCCCCGGACTGGAGCAGGAGCCGGTGAGCGGGGCGGGCGGGTAGGCGAGGGGCGCGGAGGCGGCGGGCTCGGCCGCGCGGTAGCTCGGCGTGGCTGCGGGAGCCTGACGGCCGCCCCGGGGCTGGGGGGGGGGTGTGTTCGCGGGGGTGTGAGGGGAGATGGCGCCGCCACCCCCGGCCGCTCTCGGGGCGGGGATGGCGGGGGAGGCGGCTTCTCATTGTTCCCGTTTTTTCGAGGGTCTTGGCGGGGGTGGGGAGTCCGGCTTGGGGAGGACCCCGTGGGCGAATCTCGGGGAATCCTTCCTTCGTGCGAACCGCTCGCTCCTCTGCGCGGAGGCCGGGGCTGCGGTGCGGCCCCCTCGCCACCCGGGGCGGGGACGCTAGCCTCTCCACGTCCGCTCTCCGGGGGCGAACCGCGAGGAATGCAGGGTTTTCCTTCCCGGGCTTCCCCCTCGCAGCCGCGTGTGTGTGTCCGCACTGTGGAGGGTGAGGTAGGGGCGCTTTGTGCAAATAGCCCGCTTCCCCCCGGGGTGCTGGAGTCAGGGTTCGAGCGTAGAGGCGCTCCTCGGCGTCGGGGTTCTCTGTAGGCAGCGGGGAGACCCCTCCTGGTTAAAACATTCCTGGACTGCCGCTTGCTTGCTCGGGAGTATCTGTTGCTGCTTTCTGAAACCGCGAGGTTGCCCCGGAGGAGTCGTGGGGGGAGGGGGTGTCTTGGTTTGTTTCTGATGGAAGCTTCGCGTTTTGAACCCAGTCGTGTACGCTGGGGTCTTTGGTACCGACTGTCGCCGGGGAGCCCTCGTCCTGGCTGTCAGGATCATTTCCCTCCTGCAGACGTTGCCTCCCTGCTCCCAGAGATAGTTAGTAAAAATTGGTCTCTAAAACTTTGAGTTTCATTCCGATTATTTGGCCCCTAAGACCAATTATAGGCTTATCTCCTTGAATCCTTTTGGGGTATCTATTACCTGGCTGTCAGAAGTTTTAGGGAATGTGTACCTTTACGTGGTAAAATGGTTAGAAAATGTCAGGTTTCTCGAAGGTGTGTAAAGATACTTGTTTGCTGTGAAAAGGGTAGCTTTGCATTCGGTATTGTAGTAATATGGTTTACTTCTTTTAAAAAGTAAAAAAATTGAGACATGGTTTCATTGTTTTAGACTGAGAATTATGTTAAAAACTAATGTATGTGTGATTTGCATCACACCGTCTACTTTTGGTAGTTCCAAGATGATCAGCTGGAATACTTAGTGTAATTGGCAGATAATCTACTTTCCTCACTTGCATTAGAGTGTAGTTGTTGAGTATTTTAATAACTTAGATTGGTGTTAGAGCTTGGTTTTAAAGTGAGTGTTTCATCCTTTGACTTATAAAGCATTTAAATGGCAGCAATATGACTCTTGGTTATCCCTTTTTTCCCCTAAAATTTCTACTTGTCACAATCAACAGGTATCTTTTAAAATCTTGTTTGTACATTTAATGTGATTTTTAGTAAAATAATGGGTAGTTATATAAGACTCCATTTTCCAAGGCTAACACAGCAAATATGGCCCCTTACTTTTTCTAAGGATTGGAGATAATTTCCTTCAGGTACCGTTGTGGAATACACATTTGAGGTAAATTATAGTAGTGAAATGGAGAATTTATGAAGGAAAACTGCCTGAGTAGGCTAGTCCGCTTGAGTATTAGAAAAATATGCTGATGGTCCTCAAATGTGCTGCATAGAAAGATTTTAAATTAGAACCATTAATATACTGTAGGCAATGCAGACATTCAACAGACTGCGAATTTTGAGTTTTTTCCTCTGCCTGTGTGGAACACTCAGACTGCTAGCTCCCAGGTTTGTGTGGATAGAAATATGGAGCAGGTCAGCAAACATCTTTGGAATTTCATTTGTCTATTACTGACCTGCAGCATGTGGTGTCAGGTCTGTCTCTTTAATTTGATTTATTCGTGATTTGTGTTTATATTATGCAGTCTTTGGAGTAAAGGTGATATATGTCTAATGAATAATATATAACCAGATGTTTCAGTGACAGTTTCTTTTCTATACATTAGCACAGAAGCATAATTCCTTCTAGCAAGAAAAGTGAGTTAACATTAAAATGCACTTCATTAAAATTACGGCAACATTTCTGGTGTGACTTAAAGCACCTCACACCTTTGTATCGACTCATTTGTTAAACCTGGGGAAACTAGACAATGTATCACAGTTTGCAGTTTTTAAAAAGGGAAAAATACTGTGAGAGTATGTACAGTCTGACGGCATACAGATCTACACTTGTTTTTTAATTAATGTTTGTTACGCATGGTGTGGAAGACAGACATTGTCGTCAGACATTAGTTATTTAATTTCCTGATGTTTTTCATTTCTTTGGAATCTTTCAAGATATCAATAAGTTATTATAGTAACTTATTGAATGTTTATTTGCATTTAAGTGAGTAGATCCCCATATAATTTGGGTACAAAGGTACAGTAAAATTTACCCTGTCCGTTCTCTGTAGATCCAGATATCCTGTCTATTCTCCCCCGCCCCCAGACTTTCACTTTGTCTACCTAATATGTCAGACGGGTCCTCTGGTGTCTCTTGTAAGGTGTATAGCTTGGTTGATTTTACATGGATATACTGACTTTTGGCAGTTAAGTAGCAACTGGTGTTAGTATGTCCATGGGCAGGAGCTAGGTGATGAGTCCCCGAATTATGCTAAGGGAGTAGGTGGCCCCCTCTCCACTTTATGCTTTGTGGAGGAACCCCAGTGGAACTGGCATGGACTTTCAACTTTAAAATTTTTTTCACTTCTCTTTTGTCTTATGGATGTTAAGCAGCCGAAGTGGACTAATATGTCTCGGGCTAGTGATACCTTTTCTTGGATGCTCAGGAACTATATACATACGTTACTAAGAATTCTCAGAAAGATTCTCATTGCTTGAATTTTCCTTCTCTCTACGTATCTGCCATTTTGTCATAATTAAAAAAAATCAATTTATTAAGTACAATAATGAAAAATTATTATTATTTTTTTTTTTGCGGTACACGGGCCTCTCACTGTTGTGGCCTCTCCCGTTTCGGAGCACAGGCTCCGGACGCGCAGGCTCAGCGGCCATGGCTCACGGGCCCAGCCGCTCCGCGGCAGGTGGGATCTTCCCAGACCGGGGCACGAACCCGTGTCCCCTGCATCGGCAGGCGGACACCCAACCACTGCGCCACCAGGGAAGCCCGAAAAATTATTTTTGAAATTAACCTCAGATTAAATTGTCTAATGAGGGCATTTTATTAAATGAAGTAACAAACCATAACATTTGAACAAAGCATTTTGGTCATTTGTTTTCAACAGTTGTGTTGATTTGGGGCTCTCCTGCAAGAGGGATTTCTTTTTGTTCCTATGCTGTAGCGTGTAGTTGTAGTTTATGAAGAAGTTGGATTCTAAACGTCAGTGCATAAAATGAAAAACACATGTAGTAAGAAATTATGCTTGAAAATCCCTTAGGATAGGAAAACATACCAATAGGTTCAGTTCAGCTTTAGTGTTGGAATAGGTTGTTGTTTCTTTTGTTGAACACTAGATGAAGTAGTCAGCCTGCAGTATGGGCTGTGTTGAACACAGCAAAAAGAAAAAAAGTCTTTAAATATAAGAATCACATTCAGCGTGGCATCATGCTCATACCAGGAGAGGCTTGTGGGAACTGAGACCACTGAGGAACAGCAGACCAGCTCCACTATCTCACATTTTCTCTAGGATACATGTGCTCTAGTGAGAGGACGTGGGGTGTGTGCTTGGAATAGCCTGAACTGTTTAAATGTTTCTCGTTTCCTCTCTTTTTTTTTCCTTTGCAAGCTGGATAGTTTAAATCACAAAAGTTAAATGATTTTTTTGTTGCAATTTAATAGACACTAATTTAAAGGGTTTGGTGTTTTTTTTTTCCTAAAATATATTTTACCTATAACTCCAATGTTCCTTTGCTTTTCCCTTCAGTAAAGAAGCAAGGTATCTCAGAGGAGAGCAGCTAGAATCACTGTGATTAACAATGTATTAGTGTCCAACAGAGAAAACAAACTTCAATAGGAATTTGAACAGAGGGGATTTAATATAGGGAGATGGTTAGATGAGTGTTAAGAGCAAAAAGAGAACTTTATAGTAATCAGTTAAAGAGCTCAGAGAAGAGGTTCTACTGGCCTGGTTCTCAACTTTTGAGGTCAGCCTTGTTGAGCTGCTGATTAGTTCTGGGGGATACTGAAAGAAGCTGGAGGCTGGAACCAGTTGCTGCTGCCAGTAACTGGAAGGAAGTCCCCTCACCCATCTTCCTGCTTTCCCATCTCCATGCATTACCTCCATTGGCAAAGCCTAACAGGGAGCCCCCTGGCAGAAGAGTTGGTGAAATACAGTTGCACAGTCTCAGCCTAAGCACCACAGAGCAGTCTAGAGTGGTGGTTTTGGAGTTGAGAGACAGGGAGTAAATTACCTGCACAAGTAGTATAGATTCAAATAATTTAAATAGGGAATCCTGTGCTTACCTTGCCTGTTCAAAAAACATATATTGATTATGTTCTGTGTGCCAGACCTTCTGCTAGGGATTAGAGATAGAAAAATGAAGCGAATAGGGTCTCTTATTCAATTGAATAAGCAGAGATGACAAACTACCATACAGTGTGTTAAATGCAGTAACAGATAAGTGATATGCTTTGGGAACCCAAAGGACGTAGCAGCCTACTTGCCTCTTCTCTTCCCAGCTAAACCTAATGACTACTGTTTTTATTTGGTATCTTGATCAAATCCAATTTCATTCTGTTTGACTGCTGTCCTGTGAAAGCTGTTTCTCTGAGATGCCTCAGATTTATCATGCAGTTATTGCCATTAGTTAAGCATTTCTCTGTGCTTTATTTTTCTAGGTTATAAAGACCATCATTTTCTCTGTACTTATAGCCTAGCCTAGTATTTCACACATAGAAGATGTTTGAGGAATATTCATTTTTGCAGTGGATAATGGGAATTAAAGTATTGCTCATTACCTTTGTAGACATTGTTTCCTCCTT